ATATATAAAAATACTATATTTGGACACGTTCATTTCATCGCGATCTAATACTGAAATTGTAAGTTCATAACAACCACGATAAGATAGAGAAATGCTTGATTGAAATCCATCTAAATCTCTTGCTTTGCCTCCACTGCATCAAATGTTGTTCCTGATCCGTAATCGATACAGTCGGATCATTGTCAATTATTATGTTAAATTTATTGAATATAGATGTGTCACAGGTGCATCCCTGCCACGACTATCGTACCTCGGCTGAAGATATTTCATACAGAAAATAACTAAATATTAACCTAAGTACCTGCGTTACAAGTTCTAGTTGTACTTATTACACGAGGTGAGTACGGAGCAGTTGAGGTGAATTTCATTTCACGTCATTCATAACTAGGTCTAATAACTACGCGTAATGGCCTCGATTGACCTCGTTTAACGGAACGATCAGACATGGCGCATTCGAGAACGAAGTTGCATTGTTATTCGCGCATTGCCGTGCCGACATTGACCCGGTTGGCGAACTGGATCCCCAGGTCGTTCTACGTGAAATTCCCCAGGCTTAGAAATAGCCGAAGAGCCCCGACGCCGAGATCATCAGGATCTGTTTACGCCGTAAAACCTCGGATCCGTTCCCATAATGAGGTCCGATGCCTCATCAGCACTGATGCACTATCTCCCTGTTCGAAGAGCCTGAAGAAGAAGAAGAAGGAGGAGGAGATAAAACCCGGCAGTTTCGGGGAACTAGGGGCGTCTCCACGGGGTAATTTTCGAAATCTGGGGTTTTAGACCCAGGGAATTGTTTCTCGGCCGGCCAATTCGGAGGTAGGCTTGATCAGTCGTAAAGGAGATCAAAGTCTGGAGTTCCGGAAGCGACGCCGGCAGGCTCGGTACCAAGCTGGGACGAAAGTCCCTAGATCCCGACAAGGGCACTGGCGGGCGTAGATTTCGGGGTAATCTTGTAGGGTTGTTAGACTTTTTTATGGGACCAGCGTTAAGGCCTTTGGCCGGCCCGGTCGGTAAAACAGAGCGGGGACAGTCGGCAGCGACCGCGGGGGCGGGGGCGAGCATCCGAGCCGGCAAGATTGCCTCTTTCCTAATTTATAACTAGGCGAGACTCGCCTTAACAATTTACGCCGCCCTATAGCCAGCCCCGGAATCGCGGTAGCCGCTGTAACGGTTACAGGACGCGAGATTGCCCCGAAAACCTCCGCCATATTGGACGCGATAGACGAATCGCGTCTTCTTTACCGGCCCGGAGGAAGAGTTATGGCGTCGCGACGGATCGGTTTTGCCGCGGCTTCGAAATCCGCCGTTTAGGATCGCGACTAATGGCTTCAATTGGAACCCTGTCGGGGGCCGCCATATTGAATCGCTCCGCTCGATAATTGGTGGCCCCGATTCAATGTCGCATCGGGATTGGCCGATACAGGGGAAACGGCCGTTACCGCTAATTCGACGGGAATTTCGCGAATGCTTTTATTGGATGAATTTAATGTCGCGGAGCGGGGGTTAAACAGGGAAATTGGGGGCCATCGTATCGGCTTGTCAGCCGTTGGAGCGATTCTTTTAAATTCCTCGGGAAGAAGTTCTTTCTATGCGTTATTTGATCGATTTGAAGGATCGCTCGTTTCTTCTCCTGAATGACGTATTGGGGAGCAGAGACCGACACGGTGATCCGCTTTGGACAACTTTGAAGGGTCTGGGGCTGTAAAGTATTTTCGAATAGGTCCTTGCTGACCACTCGGGGAAAGACCGACGCCATGATGGATGTCCTTTCTGCGACCCTTCGAAATAAATTCCGCGCTCCTTCTCCTTAAGTTTCGCTCCCTAAGTGGAGATCTATACTTGACAATAGCGGCTCAGAAAAGTGGCGATAAGGGCGGGAGATTTGAATTGCAAATCTCATCTCGTTAATGGAGTGTGGCCATCGTCTTGAAAAAAACGCGGGGCGGTATCAGGTCGTAATCTCTTCGTAAAAAGCTCGTTGGGAAATCAGGGCTACCGGGACACGAGAAATTTGCCGATGTTCCCCCGGGAAGGGGGGAATTATTCGGGGCAGTTGGACAACCTGGAGGGGCTAATAAATTCACAGGAAAAAAATCGCAGATAGTTATCGAAGGGCGGGGAGAAGCTCAGGATCTTGTCGAATGAAATAGTTATGGGAAGTGAAGTTACGTTGGCAGGCAGACCGATCTTAATTATCGTTCTTTCGTGGCAAAATTCGAAGGAAATGGGGAAAATGTGCGAAAATGTTATTTGTCAGGGGCCGATGTGTCCCTAGCCATCCCGTGATATTATTCCAGATAGGGAACCATGAAGACGAAAATGGACTCTTTGACAGTTGGACAGTTGGCGGCACTGGCGAACCGGAGGTGGGTGACATACCACCCACTTGCGCCTCCTCCTATCTTCTCGCCTTCCGAGCCTAGACTTCCAGACAACTTGTCACCGCGAGTTTGTGACGCGAGATGACGCTTTTATCAAGTTACCATTTTGTTTTCGCCTTCCTACCTCTCGGCCGATCTTAGTGACCGGATGCTGTTCCCAAAAGGTCTGCATCAACGAATGGACCTAAATTATTCCTTGCCGCCGAGTATCAAGATGAATCTCACAAATAATACGAAAAACGATTAATAAGGAATAGACCTTAAAGATTATTTTGTACTTCTTGGTATCAAGACAGATTTTATAAATAAGACGAGAGGCGACGAGCCAAGAATGGAACTAGATCATCCCCGGTTCCTAAAAATCGAGATATGCACTTCTCACAAATCAGACAAGAGACGATCATGAGCGGCCTAACAGTGATGGCGATTCTTCTTAAAATGACTCCACGATTGTTAAACCTCCGAGAATCTAAAACTATCCAAATAAATCGGAATTCTTCGCCGTAGGAATTGCACCCCATTGGTCCATACTTCTTACTGCCATATTTAGGAATTATTAAATCCATCTAAGGTATGGAGGAAAAGTTAAATTTTCTGCACGCCTTTTAGGGGTTTCTGGGCCAGCGGAAAAGTTGTGGTTGAATTATGGGGTGGAAGGCTTTCTTTAGCTCGGAAATCGAATTGTCACATATCTTGCTCTTCCCCGATTGGACTTGAGAGGTTAGGGTATCCTTTCCCTCGCTTCCCAGACATCGGCGGATCCCGCAGAGGGCGGAATGAACGGAAGGGAAGCCCAACTTAAACACTGGCTAACTAGTACTAGTACGTATAATTGAGTCAAGCAAGTATGCCTCGGACCGACCCTCTCCGTCGGTAAGGTAGAGCTCGCTAGTTCTGGAGCGCATGACTCGAATTCGCGAGTAGTGCGTCCATCTAGACCTCGACCGATCTTTGCTCGTTGCTACATCACGGATGCTGCGATTTCCGAAAAAAAGATGTATGAAAAAAATCCGCGGTTAATTACCACCAAGCACCCTATGTTAGTTACATGGCACTAGAATAACATGACGTATAACAAATATTATTCAAACGATACATGAATATTATATAACTCTGAATTATTACCGTTCAGTAACATCGTTACAAACTTTTTAGCATTGTAGTTATATAATATCAACATAACATGTAAGATGTTACCGATATGTTATGCAAATGTTATATTATTCATTTTATAACAGTGTTATATGGCTGCGGAGGAAACAGTAATGCAAATCTTACTTATACATTATATGTATGTTACATTACATGTTACAAACGTTATGAAACTGTTATATTATTGTTACGTAACCGTGTTTGGTGGGTTACGATCTGATTTCTTTAAGATAAAATTGCTAATAACTTTCTGCAATGATTTTCTGACTTTCCCCGATGAAATTCATCCTGATAATTGGGAATGACATGACATTTTTTTGAATCGCCCGACATTGTTCGATAAATTAAACGGAATAATTCACGTATTACAAAATTCGGGCTGTAACGCGTGCCGGTATTATTAAATGTAACAAAGCCAATCGATGTGCAAAATTTCATCGGTATTAGCTAATATTGATTAATTATTCGATATCAAAGATAATTCCAACGATATATGTTAATAAGGTGCACATGGAACGTTTATTCTGCACGAGTCGACATTCTTTAGCGAAGGAATGTTCGCGAGAAAAGTTCCGCTTTAATGTTTAAGATTTCATTACGTTACTTATTCTGATTTATATCACTTGGAAGCATATAATGGCAAATGTATAAATTTAGCAAGTTATTGTTATCTTACCTTTTTTTTGTTGCAATGGTTTTCGGCCCAGAAATTTGAAATTAAGATCGCACCTAATCTTGATTTGCAGCCTCTGAAATACTCTTCAGACCCGCAACATTATATTTGCTCTCGAAGAGATTCAGGACCGTGTATACAAAAAATGTCAATTGATTCCTTCAGGGTTCCGGTTATAAAAAAGCAAATTTTAATGAATTGTAATAAATTCGGTGGGAAACACCAGCGGGTAAACAGCGTTTTGCATTATACAATATCATGCATTATTCAACAGTAATATTTCCAGCAGTGATCAATTGATATTCTTGACCAAGAGTTTTAAATAAATTCTGGCGACATCAAGGAGAATTTCAGATTTGCATGTAATGATCTAGGAACGCGAATATCTAGATTTTTCGTAGTTCTAACTTTAAGAGTACATTTGAATGGAATGGTGATGGAAGCCGGAGTTTTAATAAAAATGTTACACCTGGATTAGTGTTAATTTGAGTTAAGTTGTACCGTATTTTAAGTAAGCGTATTCTTCATGGACGACCCGTCGATAAACGTGAAAATAAAGTCTTTTCGATCGGCCATTCTGACGCAATCGGTCGTTAAAGTTGCGAGATGGGAAGACCGGTGGGACTCGCGTCCCTAGCGCCATTCCTGGCGCATACGGGGAGTAGTTCGCGCGTTCGCCGCAAGACAGCGTCATCACGGGCAATCTTCTCCAGGCGAGGCGCCCAGTGGCGGTCTTTGCAAATAACTCCGAAGAGCCATTGGGACCGGCTTCGGGGGTTTCTCGAAAATCTGCCATGGCGCAGAACAATCTACTGCAAGGATACAGCTGTAAGTGACTTTTTTGCCCCGAAAATTGGCGGCGCACTTTCGGTCAGCTTTACCGGCCGCTCCGCTGGCAGTCTTTCCGGTAAAATGAACTCTGAATATGGCGGCTTTCGTTTATTTATTCGACAAGGAAAGGGAAAAAATCCGAGAGCTGAATATTGCCCTCGTGGTTTGTTTGCGGGAAAGGGGCGAGAGTTTCCTCTGACAAGGAAACCCCAAAATTCTGGCCCCCGGCGTTTCTTTAACCCCGCGATTTCCGGACCCTCGCGGCCGCAACTATCGGTTCTCCGTAATGGCCGCGGAAAATCTAGAGAATTTTCGGCAAACCGTCCACTTCGTTTTGACGTCTGAGGATGCGTAGTGGAGAACGTTTTGACGTTCGAGGAATTTGCAAAACATGTTGATCCACTTAAAATCAGTAATGGGGTGGATGAGACCAAGTTCGCGGGATGCTTGATTTCGAGGTAAATGATGGAAAATGTTTATAACAAGTAACAAATGTTAAAATCAGGGTTAAACTTGGAACTTCAAAAATTCAGATCATTTCGTGTATTCCTTTTTATCAGGTTTTTCTTTTTGTGCCACGATTTGGAATACACGTGAATATCAGAAGAAGTCATTAATATATTTTTACAATGATATATTTCTTTTTAGGGGAAACTCAGTACGAGGATTCGCAGGCACAGTTGCCCAGGTCCATTCAGGATGAGGTGATTAGGTGAGAAATTTTCAAGCTTCGGATATTTTCCAGATGCCAAATATTGGAGTACAGGTATTTCTCAATATCTGGGATTTCTTTAATTAGCGTTTACGAGGTGTACGTTAAAGAAGAGACCATTGGACCAGATGGAAGGAGCGAGGTGTCCGTGGTTTCCGGAATACCTGGATCTAATGAGCACCAGTTAATACAGGTGACTAACGAATGCATTTGTGCGGAAATAATTTCAAACTTACAAATGTGTTAATAAATTATTATGCCGCAGGCGGATTGTCTGGATTTAGACGCTGCAATCGATTCCGAAGTGATCAATATCGACGGCACGGTAACAAAACTTCTTGGGAAAGATTCCTTGAAATATAAGGTTAATTTTATACTATAACTGTTCCGAAGGATCTTCGTTTAAATGCATATATTTTTATTTTATGAATTTATTAACGATCTCATTTCAATATCAATATGCCTATGCAACGTATTACCGTATTTGCATTTTATTTAACGAGAAATAAGACCTTTTCTTTTTTCTAAAGATTTTAGAGCAAAGCGTTACTACCCCTGATGATAGCGTGGTCGTTTACTCTCATCCTGTAGCTGAAGGACCTTCTTCAACAACTCCTCGTTTAATAGACAAGGATGATCCTAGATCAAGACTTCACTTCGTGAAGTACTTGAAGCGGGATGGCAAGACTTTGAAAATATGGGAATGTGGCATCTGTGAGTTCCCCAAAATTTCTCCAAACATCGTTTTTCATTTAATATTCCACTAGTCTTCCAGTCGTACACAGAAAGAAATGTTGGATATGACAATTAGACAATGCTTCTATTTCGATTAATATTTCCACGTGTAAGTACAGAATATATTTCATTTTCAGAATTCATACTCAGAATGAAATATGTAAGTTTTTGAATATACCCGAATGTTTGCACTTTCATGAAATTAAGGGGAATGGAAAATTTTTAACTGTACATTTTTTTTATCTCAATGCATGTATAGAATAATTAGTATTAATGGTATGGGATTGCATGACAATTTTCAAGGGTTTCATATATCTCGATTGAAACGTTTATTAAACCATTACTTTTCCTTCTTCGATCAGGCTCAAAGGAATTCAGACATCAGTACACCTTGATGAGGCACCTGCCGACCCATACCGACGAAAGGAATTTCAAATGCGAAGCTTGCGGCAAAGCTTTCAGACAACTCTCAACGCTAAGCCAACACAAAGCGATCCACAGTGATGCTCGGCCTTACGTGTGCGAGTTTTGCAAGAAAACATTCAACCGGTTAGCAGCTAATTCCTAATTATCAACTTCCTCTAAAAAGCCTCTTAAAAGCTTAAATTTCAGGGTATCCACATTGATATCGCATCGTAAAACGCATTCGGAGCACAAACCTCACAAGTGTCACCTGTGTGGCAAGGGATTTCACCAGAAAGGTACGAATCACCAAAACGTATTAAAGTGCAGTTTTACTATTAAGAGTTTACAAAAGGAAGTCCATCTCATTCCAGGGAACCTGCGGAACCACGTCTTCACGCACACCAACGAAAGGCCCTACAAATGTGAATTGTGTGGCAAGGGGTTTAACCAGATGTCGAATTTGGTGTGTCACAAGGTGAAGGCACATGCTCACGCAGAGAAGATGCAATACGTGTGTGGAATCTGCGGAAAAGAATTTCCCCGAAGGTTTTCCTTAAGGTCTCACGAGGAGTACAAGCACGGGATCAAGTATCGCCAAACTGCAGGCGCGCAGTCGACGTTGAACGAGCCAACGATCATGCGGAAGTTAGTGATAGTTCTCTCCACGGATATCCCTAGTATCGAAATGCCGTAACTAAAGAAGCCGTCGAAATTCTGGACCATAACAATGCTTATTCCCAGCAGCAAAAACGTCAGGATCGTTCATTTACCAGACGGAGAACAGGAAACGATGACCGAGGTCAGTGATAAGGATCCCATGGGATCGGTGAGTGGATTAGAATGGAGATGTAGAAAACGCACGTTTCGAAATGCCGTGCAGTCTTTATGGTGTTTTCTAATTGAAGGGAGACTACATGGAAAGCGTTTTGGTGGACAGGATTGAGACGAAGGCGCTGGAAAACGCGATTCTTCAGGGCCACACCCCGTTTGCCCTTTTCAAGCCAGCTAAGGGGATTCCGGTGCTGGTGAAGGTGTCGCCGACCGCAGGCCAGAAACACGTGATAACGATTTCCCTCGGACTTGGATTTCGGATCTTTGTGTCCGCCTCCTCGCTAACGAGATCCTTCTATGCAGGTCTTGACGCCCGCGACGGCAGAGGATCTCAGGATTGCTGGGAAAATGACTTTGAGTCCAACTTTGAATGGGGACGGGGATGGAATGAAGGCAGTGCAAATTAAGGTCCCAGTGGTGGCAACGGTGACCCAGAAGATTGAGCCTGATGGAAAAGTCAGCTTCCTCGTGGAGGCTCCTGGACCCGATCAGGAGCAAGGTGAACATCCTTAAATTCTTGGTCGGTCCAAAAGCGAATCTCCAGTCCTATCCGATTTCGCCTGGATTGATCTGCGACCACTGTTGATGTATTTTCCAGGAATTCCATTATTATTCAATGCTCTGATGTTGATATCGTTTAACGAGCTTCCACGTTTTTCCAGAGAGTCTGGTAGCGCCTCTGGATCCGCAATTCCCCTTCGAGGAACCCATAAGAAGTGATCCTGAGAGACTCAACCAGTCGATCCAGACCCCGGCTCCGGAAGACTGCAACGAGCTTTTGGAACTGGCAGCTCAAGGTGGGATCCAATTTGTCAGAGCGACGGAAGATGGTCGCTACGAGGTGATGACCAACAGCGAAGCCAGAGACTTGATGGCGCAGAACTCCCACGATGTCACGATTTTGAACAGCGAAGAGGCCAACGCCATCAACGTCGTCGGAATTCGTGGGAATGTTCATGACGAAGTCATGGGGAACACCGGCAACGAGATCATGGTTTTGGATTCTGAGTCGAATCAGAAGTCGATCGCCATGGATAGGATTGAGATTTTGGAAGACAAGGACATTAGGATCCTGGACTCCAAGACTTTGGATGATCGCTACGTGGACGGGATCACGTATCTCTCCCAGTCCAAGATCGATGACCTCATCCTGGGTCCCAAATCCCTCGGCATGGATCCTGGGGTTTCCGTGATGGAACATGATGACGATGTTGGTGGGTCCCACGCTTATAGCTTAAATGTTAAGTTTTCTACAAGATTCAGAATGATTGAAAGTACATTTGGATGTCCTAGCAGTGTTCTTTAAGATCTTCCTTTTATAGTAAAATTTAAAATGATATCAAATTAGAAGATTAATTAAATAACATGATCATTATACCCCAGGAATTGGACCCTGCCACCAGAATTTGGCCAACATCTTGAACCACAGACCGGAAATGCCGAACATGGCTGCGAACGCTCCCACGACCATGACTTCTTTACTGAGCAAAAGTCAGTCCTCGATTTCGATTTTGAACGAGAGTTTACCCTTCTTCAAGAACAGCCACATTTTGAGCGAGGACATGAACATCCTCGCGGATGTCGGGTGTCCAATGGACCAGCAATCAGTAGTAGATTACGAGTCGAGGATGAAGTTAACCGAGTTCGACGACGGCGAATGCGACACCGGACTAATCCCTATCAGCCAATCGGAGGTCAAAATTTTAGGGTCTTGGAATAAGAACTTCAAGATACTGGGAAGCAACGAAAAGAACCAGCAAAAGTCCTTCCTCGAGATCGGAGAAGTGAAGATACTCGGCCCGAAGAATTCTGAGATGACGCCGCAGTACCAGGACCTCAAGTTTTTGGGAAATTACGAGCAGTTTTTGCGAAACACCGGACACAATGGGTTCGTCAACTCCGGAGGTGGCGAGACAAGGAAAGAGGTGAAAATTCTGGGGAAGAAACTGGAAACTGCAATTCTCTCCACCGACGACGGCAACGTCGTGAAGGTATTCGACGAAATAAAGAAACTGGTAAGCAAGAATTTTTTTTTATACACCCCAAATTTTCATAGTCTGTCGAATTAATTTCAAAACGCGGCGCCACCTTTTTCAGACGACTCCTGGGAGTGATTCTCGAAATTCCTGCGAGACGGTCGTTCACGAATCGTCCGAGGAAGAAAGATCGAACTCCGAGCGCGCCAGTCGGGACTTTTTACTCCAAGTAAAGGAAGAGCCTCGCGACATTTACTATCAGCTATACTAAAGCGGTATTTTCTTTAGGCGTGCAGTCCGGAGCAGGACTTCCTGAATTTCGGTAATCGGTTAACCGACCGACACACGAGTCCCGGGAATTTCCAGAGGTCCCACAAAGACAGCGATTTCGTCATGACCGGGCTCCCGGATTTGGACTGAAGACTTTTTTTTTTACACCAATTACCTTAGCTTTAATTTCTGCCACTTTCGAGAAGAGGAGAGAAACGCATGGAGTGAACGAGGAGTGCCTACTTGTCTACGTGTACGTTTTCGATTGGATTTCCAAACTTAAATGCATTTTCAAAGTGAAACGCGTTCCTTATTTCCGCCATTACGCGTTTCGCAAGCAAGACTTTAAGCGTCGTTCTTTTCCGAGTAGGACATGCTAGGAGAAATCGTAACCAGGAGAAATTACCATTTCGAAAAGCTCGCGTGATAACAAGACGTCCTCGCGCCCGCTTAGTATCGGTTTCAAGTAAACATTCCCTCATTTCCCATTTCGACAATTGTACAAAGGCTGGAATTAGTTTCCCTCGCCTGTTCTCTGAATCGAGTTCCTCGAAGACGCGGAGGGTCTCGAGAGGGAGATGGGGAATTTATTAAATCGGCATCGATCGCAAAACTGGAAATGTTTGTCGTATTGACTCGCACTCTCGAGTATAGATGTCCCTTCCTCTCCCTTCCCGGCTTCCTCGAATTAGGTTGGGCCGCGTTAGGTTAGGTTAGGTCGGCCTCTTCTGGGGGCGAAACAAAAGGTGTCGCGGAAGATTTTTGCGCGGCGGGAGAAGGAGAGAAAGACGGAATGAGGAATGGCCGATGGAACGTTGCGAGTGTGTCTGGGAGGGAAGAAGAGAGGAGCGAGAGAGGGAGCAAAGGAGTGAGAGGGGTGAAAGCCAGAGGTGCCTCTTCTTGCGTTCCACTGGGGAGATCGAATTTGCGAAATGGGACTGCACGAGGGTTGAATTTCTAAGGGGATAATTCGAGGTACCTCCTCCCCGGAAAAGAGGAACTCGCCTTCGAATCCGCCGAATCGGGAATTGATCGATAACCAGTCGATGCGAGAGACGCGGCTCTTTTTGGATGTTGTCGAAATTTCTTTTTCCTTATTTCCGAAGTTTTGCCGCCTCGGGCTACCCGAAAGAGGTAAACGGGCGGAGAAGGAGGGACATTGATGGATCCGATATCGGGAAGCGTCGAGAAATTTATCTGGGACATGATTTCTGTCGTTCCCTCGTAAAAGAGAATAATGTTTCTTTCGGAGGTATTCGAGATGTATAACGAATGGACTAATAAATTTGTATACATACGAACCCATCGCCTCGATGTCTGATTTTCTTCAAAACTTGAGTGAACTCGCGTAAACCAGAAGGAGCGTTCTTTTTTGGCGCGTCTTCGAGCCGCCATCTTGCTTTTTCCTCGGCGACCCTCGGCTCCTGGAGGAGTGCAGAATCATTATTTATAAACTCGTCGTTTACAGGACAGGACTTATTTATAGATCGCAGGCAGGTCGTGAAATTAAGACAGCCTCCAGGCGGTGTAAAAAGCGACGGGCGATGGCGGCGGGTTTTAAATAAATTATCCCGAGTTAAAAGCCTCTTCGCACTTCTTCTTCCTTGGATTATCCGTGAAAACCGAGAAGGCGGGTTTCGCCTTCTCGGAGTTATTCCCGCCAGGACGAATCTCTCGCCCCTTTCCTGTACTTCTTTCCGCCCCCTCCCTCCCCAATCCCATCCACCCTTAGCCGAGCTCTCGGTTGCCTCTGCTTTGCATCGAATTATTTACAAAATGTATCCACCCGCCGAGGGCGACATCTACTTAGGGGAACGCCGCCAGAGGGCGGCACATCTCGGGAACAATGCCATCGAGGGCGACTCAAAGGACGAGAATCGTAATCCTCCACCTTCCACGGTTATTTCCTTTCGCGGTATTCCACTCTTGCGGAATCCTCTTATCAACCAGAAACTAAGTGTGAAGCGTTAAATGAAAATCTTTTCATTTAACTCTCCGACTTAATTTGGTTCCATTTTTAATGCGCTAATCAGCACGCCAAACTCGCATGCAACGAACTGTACACGAAGTAGATGCTTAAAAAACCACGAAGTACATTTATATATTTTTATATATTTACACACACATGTCAGGCATTATTGTTTCATGTGGAAATAAGTGGGAATCTTCTATATGCTCGGGAAGGGAAAATAGAAGGAACACGAAGAACGATCGGCCATTGAATGACGTAGTTCGTCAGCCATATTTATACATTTACACACATATGGCACGCATTATTAAGTGTTTTATGTGGACAGTGCGAATCTTCCAGATGCTCGAGAAAGGGAAATATAATAGAAGGAACGCGAAGGACGATCGGCCATCGAATGACGTAGGTGGTCGGCGATATTTAGCCGTGCGTGCGACAGTGTTGCTAGTTTTGTCGACTAGGGTTAAGGCGCGGTTGCCGTCCCCCGTGACAGCGAGCTATCGAGTGGTCAAGATGGATGCCGGGTCCGGCATTCAATTTTTCCCCTAGGCGATGTTACCTGCCGGCAGGAAATGTACGCCACGTCGATAAATCACCGCACTTTTGGGTACTCGAGGGTACTTTGCTACTTTTTCCTGTTTTTTTTTTATATTTTTTTGCTTCGCAAATGGTCGAACATTTTCGTTGGAAATAAATAAATAGAGGCTGTAACGTCGTCATGGCTACTGGCTGGAAAGGGTAGTTTCAAAATGGCCGCCGCGCCGTCCAACTTCGGTCTGTTTTTTCACATTTTTCGAGGGGAATCTCATATTTGCCTCGGGATTTGGCACTGAAATTCGCTTAAAGGCTGGAGCTTCTTGGTAACGGTTCGGCTATTAGGCAGGGAGTCTCGGTGGCCATCTTGATTTCCATTTCCTCCAATCCAGCGACCGCTTCTTCCGCGATTCGGCAGCGCGTTCAGCTGACCGTACAGTTTCTTGCCGTCCGAACCCGGAAAAGCGTTTTTCCTCCTGACGAAGCTAACTGTTTCCCAGGAAATTCGCAGCTCTGATTTTCCCCCAGGTCGGCCTGGTACATCAGCTACCACTTGGCGCGAACATCCCTGGTTTTACTAGGCCCGACTCTACATGCTCCTCTTGTAATCGTAACGACTACCCCAGCTAACGGGTGGTTTAATAAAAGCCTCTCTTAACCCAAGGAAAAAAATTCCCTACCGACCCTTCTCTTTGAATTAACATTGAGCAGAAGAATGGGCGACTAATTACCGTGCTCCCCCATTAAACAAAAAAATACGACGATGCATTTCCCTGGTTCCTTTAAGTTACAGAAATTCCTCGGCGAAGAAATTGAAACACTATTTGGAGCGGGGAATTCCTTGCGAGGAGAAATCGCGGGGGAACGAAATTGCATCCCTTAGGCGATTCGACGCGAGTCCTTGTAGAAGACACCCGGTACATCACGGCGATTCCTTGCCGGGATCGTCTTTACGAGGCGGGCGAAAAAAATGTATAACCTCAAGATGGAATTGAATTCTCTGCCGGCGTCAAGTGAATACTGATTACTGTACTTTAAAACGTCCCTAGACGTGAGCGGCCACTTTGGGTTTAGGATTTTTATTTCGCCAAGTTACCGTGCTGCTCCTAAAAAAATCAAGCGCAGTTAAAAGCGAACTTTAACTTAAACTGTTAACCAGAGAATTTCTCTGAATAATATCTACGTCTCGTTTTATCACTGCCTAGCATAATCTAATTTCATTCGTCAATAAACATCTCTTGTGTATTAACTTTGACGGCTTTTGTAATTTTACGTCCAGAATTTTTACTTCGTTTGGGAGTCGTAAAATTCCTGAAAAATTCAGTAAAGTTGTATAATAACTGAAAAAATTGAGCGCAGTTAAAACCGAAGATTAAGTGAAACTGTTAACCCGAGAATTTCTCATACCGATATCTCCGTCTCGTTTTATCACTACCTGGCATGATCTAACCTCATTCGTTAATAAACATATCTCATGTATTAATTTTGACGGCTTTTGTAATTTTACGTCCAGAATTTTTACTTCGTTTAGTAATCGTAAAACTCCTGAAAAATTCAGTAAAGTCGTAAAATACCTGAAAAAATCGAGCGCAGTTAAAAGCGAACTTTAATTAAAACTATTAACCCGAGAGTTTCTCTCAATGATATATACGTTTTATCACTGCCTAGAATAATCTAACCTCATTCGTTAATGAACGTATTTCGTGTATTCACTTTAATGTCTTTGGTAATTTTTACTTCGTTAAGTAGCCGTACAAAATCTTGAATAATTCGGGAAAATCGTAAAATTATAATAAAAAAGTAATCGGGCGCAGTTAAAAATGAACGTTGACTAAAACTATTAGCGCGAGAATTTCTTTCGATGACATCTCGCTTTATCATTGACGATATCAAACATCGTTTGTTAATAAAGACCTGGGTCTGCAGTCTTTTGTGTATTTGAAGTTACTAGATGGTCAGGTTGGATATTTTGTGTCATTGACCCTGTTTTTGCGAAATTAGCTCTGTCTGTCGGGCGATGCGATAAAAACGTTTAGGTTTAATGGAGCAATATATTTCGCGTATGGCCAACGGCTATGAAGTCAGACGAGCCTGGCAAGGCTCAGGAAAATTAATTAACGAATCACTTTGTTCATTAACTAATTGGTAATTAGACGAGGGTAGGATCTCTAGTTTGGACGCTTTACGTTCAGAAACAACCCTCACCTCCCTCCTCGTTGTTGCCAACTTCAACCTGTCGAATTTTTTTCTAAGTTTATGAATATCCTGAAATATATTCAGAGATAAGAAATTCTGATCTTCGCAGATAACAGCGCGATCGTTGCTATTGTTAAGGGGCTATATGCAGTTGTACGGGAAATTCAAGAATTCTTTTTCATAACTAAAATGCATTTTTTAATCGAAAACAGAGCGTGATTTCATAATACAATTATTGAACTTAATATGTAATTTTTCTTTCTTAAGATATATTTAAAAATTGGCGAAGTACAGCAATTCTCTGAAACAGTTCCTTTTTTTTTGCGGTGACCACGATATCTCAAAAAGTATTTCACCGATCGGCTTCGAATTTTTAGGGCTCATTCTACACACGGAGGACTGCTTAATGAACGAAGGATTCTTTTTTTTTTTTTTTCTATGAAAACTTGCT